AAAGGAAAACGTTTCCGAAAAACAAACGGGGGAAAACCCACTGGGCCACGGGGTTACCCTTTTTGGGGCTTGGGGCCTCGGGGTTTTCCTGCCCCCCGGAGTTTTGCCGCCCGTCCCGGCCACGTGGTACCCCTTGGGGGGCCGTGCGACTATCAATTATATCTGTATCCTGTTTGCGCTGCTGCCCCGAATTACCAGACACATCGAACAGCCACGTGAGTCAACCCTATGCGAAATTATAGACATTTTAAAAATTTCCGATTTTCAAAAAAAAATATTTAAAAAAATAGAGCGATAAGAGTTTAATTAAAAATCATATTTAAGTTACTTATACTAGTTTCTATCTGGGAAAAAAGTTTGACAATTTTCGGCCTCGTAATCTAGGAATTATAGAATTTTCAAAATTAGGGGTAGACACGTGCTACCCTTATTTCAACCCCCTTGTAGGTGAATAGTATGTTATATTTTGAACTTTAATTGTGTAAAGCCCGGAGATTTTTTTCAGAATTTTTTCTCAGGTTGTGTTCTTTATTTCTTAAATTTAAGTCTAGTTTTTATAAATTTTAGCATTCTAAAAATTTAGGGTGCTTTATTAGGGGTGGCTTTATTGCGCATCGTGTTTGTTATTAAGTTTCCAGTGCAACGAGCCCAAACTCGGGTGTCCTAAGCCACATATAGCCGAAATAACAAAAATTACTAGAACAAACGGCCATATTGAGCGCCATTTTGAAATATTGTTAATATTCATAACTCTTGACTCCGACATCCTACGAAACTGTGGTTTTCACGGTTGATCTTGATTTGGCAATCTCTAACTGAGTAAGTAGTAAGCAGCTCTAGGTAGAGAAAAAATTCCGACTCTACTACACGTGCAAAATTAAGTAGTACACGCTAAGCTGATTCAGGGGACACCAAACTCGACTCTTTTGCGTTAGAAATTGCTGAAAAACTAGCACTCAAACATTTTGAGCGCCACTTTAGACGCCATATTGTTTTTACAATATTAACTGTAACTTCTGAATTTTTGACGCTAGAGAGTTGGGAAAAATTTCGCAGGAAGGGGCATCACCTGCACTATACACTACTGACAAATAAGCTCTATATAGAGCTCTAGTTTTAACTTTTTACTTGTTTTCTGTGTATTTTTGTCTTTATTATTTTATGTTATCTTGTTTTTGTGTGTGACCATTTACTGCCTCTTTGGCACTTAAAAATAGACAAGACTCTACGTAGAGTCACCGTACAAAACTTTATTTTGTTGCTATTGCACAAATTTTGAAACAGAGATAAGAAAGAAAGATCAGAATAAGTATATTTTATAACTTTTACAAACCTTGTTATTAATCACCTATTAAAATCGTAACAATTGTTGACTGGTTTCCCACGTTACTCCCAAATGGCTACTATCCACACCCCGGCCAAGAAGCCTGCAAGTGAAGAAAGAGACAGGAGCTCTATAGGCTCCACGAATGAGACAGAGAAGGCAAGACCTTCTCTTAAGAGAAGCCCGACGCCTACGACAAGTGTGAGAAGGAGTGTAGGAGAGTGGGAGACGGGGAGAGTTGAACCAAAAACTGTGTCGGAGACTTCTCCAAAAATTAATCAGAAGACACGGCCGGTACCAAAATCAAAAACAATCGTTCCCCTGGAAGGGATGGAACTGCAAAAGGTACCAGCGGGACTCTCCGGTGTCCCCAAAAAGGCCTCTCTACAATACCGGAATCGAGTTGCCGAGGCCAGAGCATGCTTAAACAAAGCAAAACTCCATCTCGGCAATTCCAAGAATTTAAAGACAGAGATCAAAAATGAAGTTGTTCAAGCAATCGACCGACTATACCAGCTGGTAAAAGAGGCAGAACTAGAGAAAGAAAAGACTTCTGGAAAGATAGCAGGTACAGTAAGACAGGAAATAGAAGAAACTCAAGCGAAAGGAGGAGAAATCAAGGCATTCTACTATGAAGAAGGGAAAGACTCTGAAGACACCTTCCTAAAGAAGCTAGACGAACACGCTAAACTATTAGAAGAAAACAAAAAAGAGATGGAAAGCTTGAAAGCGATTTTATGTCAGCAAGAGTGCCGAGAGAGAACGACATATGCATCCGTGACGGCAAGCACTGTCAGAAAAACACCTCCTGAGACTACGGCTATCCATTCGGTAGCAGTCACTTCAAAACTTGAGACTGAAACTGGCGAAGAGGTAATGAAGAAGATCAGACTGGCAGTAAATGCAACAGAAGAAGGTATAAGAGTGGATAAAATCAGGAAGGCCAGGGACCGGAAGGTTATAGTAGGATGTAGAACGTATCAAGAAATGGCAAGGGTGAAAGAAAGAATCGAGAAGGCCGGGACAGAGTTATGCGTGGAAGAAATAAAAAATAAGGACCCGATGATAATGCTAAGGAATGTACTAAAATATAATACTGACGATGAAATCCTTAAAGCCTTGAAGAACCAAAACAACCACCTATTCGTCGGGTTGAGCGCAGAGGAAGAGAGGATGGACGTGAAGTTCAGGAGAAACTGCAGGAACCCACTGATGGCACATGTGGTGGTTAAGGTTGCACCAGTAATATGGAACCGACTTATGGAGGCCGGTACGGTGCATTTGGACCTGCAGAGAGTTCGCGTGACTGACCAGTCCCCTCTCGTTCAGTGCTCACGTTGTTTGGGGTATGGACATGGTAGGCGATTCTGCCGAGAAACGATAGATAGCTGTAGCCACTGCGGAGGACCCCATATGAAGACAAAATGCGCTGAATGGCTAGCAGGAACAGCACCAACCTGTTGTAACTGTTCCAGAGCCAAAATTGAACGAAGCGACCATAATGCTTTCAGTGACAGCTGTCTAGTAAGAAGAAAGTGGGAGGCCCTGGCCAGATCCACTGTGGCATATTGCTAAAGTGGCCCCACATGTAATAACCAGCCAAGACACGGGGGCACCATATAGGGCGGCCCAGGCAAACCTCCAGAGAAGCGAACTTGCAACAGCAGAGCTTCTGACCGAAGCGGTCCAAAGAGGTATCACGTTTGCACTGGTCCAAGAGCCCTACACCGGGCGGACGGGAAGGGTGAAATGTCATCCGGGAACCAGAGTGGTACAGGGAAATGGCAAAAGCGATGCGGTCAATAAATCTGCCATTGTGGTCTTTGACGACAACATTAACATCACCCAATGCCCTACGCTAACAACACAAAATATTGCTGTGGTCAAGCTGAGAACCGAAGCGTGGGATATAGGAGTGGTATCGGTATATCTGGAAGGAGACAAACCACTCGAACCATACGTCCGGTGGATAAGGAAGATAGTTAGGGAATTAGGGACAAGAAAAATTTTGCTTGGGGGGGACATTAACGCCTGGAATGTGTGGTGGGGAAGTGCAAAAACTGACACTAGAGGGGAGGCAATGGAAGGGTTGATGCAGGAGCTCGGTCTGGAAGTCCTTAACAGAGGGTCTGAGCCTACTTTTGACACCACAAGAGGTGGAAAGCGCTATACTAGCTGCGTAGACATTACAACCTGCTCTGTGGACCTGCTCGGCCAAATTGACAACTGGAGGGTTGCAGGTGACGTGACTAGTTCCGACCACAACACGATCCTCTTCGATCTGAAGCTCAGCAAAGCCAAAGGTATTGACATCCAAAGAACGACGAGAGTGTACAACACAAGGAAGGCAAATTGGAGTCAATTTCGTGAGAAACTGACCCAATCTTGGAAGAACGACAAAATAACCAAGAGTGAAGTAGAAAAAATTGTTAATAAAGAAGAACTTGAAGGAAGAATCACTAAACTGATAGAAAACATTAAAACAGCAAGTGAGGAGTCAATACCCAAACTGAGCAGAAAGAGGAAGGTGAAACTAGTGTGGTGGACTGAGGAGCTCACAAAACTGAAGAAGGAAGCTAACACGATGAAACGCAGAATAGCGTGCGCTGCGCCAGTTCGCCGAGCAGCAGTCGTAGAGCAATATCTCCGGACCAAAGAAACGTACCTCAAGGAAATGAAAAAGGCCCAAACCGATAGCTGGAAACAGTTCTGTGGAAGGCAAAATCGCGAGAGCATGTGGGACGGAATATATAGAGTAATAGGCCGTACTATTAACAGGGAAGAGGACGTTCCGCTGGTCTTAAATGGGAACGTTTTAAAAGCCGAAGAATCCGCAAGACTGCTGGCGGAAACTTTCTACCCCGAAGATGACATCAACTCGGACGACGCAGACCATAAGAAAATAAGGGCTATTGCACTCCGCGTGAATGAGCGGACGGATAGTGAAATATCCGATCCGCCCTTCACGGCGGAGGAACTGAAGTGGGCTGTGTCGAGTTTTAACCCGAAGAAGGCCCCGGGTGGTGACGGCTTGACAGCGGATATCTGCGGATCGGCTATAGAAACGGACCCAAGCGCCTTCCTTGCGCTAGCAAACAAGTGCTTGAGCCTCGGCCACTTCCCTGTTAAGTGGAAGGAGGCCGTGGTGGTAGCCTTACGAAAACCAGGCAAGGACAATTACACACAGGCTAGATCCTACAGACCTATAGGCCTTTTACCCGTCCTCGGTAAAATGTTGGAGAAAATGATGGTGCGCAGAATTAGGTGGTACATCCTGCCTAAAATGAGTCAACGCCAATACGGCTTCACACCGCAGCGCGGCACCGAGGACGCCCTCTATGCCATGATGAAATACATTCGAGGAGAACTTAGAGCCAAAAAGATAATAATCCTGGTGTCACTAGACATAGAGGGGGCCTTCGATGGCGCGTGGTGGCCGGCCATACTCTGTAGGTTGACAGAGATACAGTGTCCTCAAAACCTGAGACGACTGGTGGGAAGCTATCTGTCTAACAGGAGAGTGAGCGTCAGATATGCTGGAGCAGAACATACCAGAATCACCACCAAAGGCTGCGTGCAGGGTTCGATTGGGGGCCCGGTGTTCTGGAACCTGTTACTCGACCCTCTATTGGTGGCGCTGGAGGCGAGGGGGGATTACTGTCAGGCCTTCGCGGATGATGTCGTCCTTGTGTTTTCCGGTGATACGGCATTGGAAATCCAAACGCGGGCAAATGCTGCTCTCGAACATGTTCGGACTTGGGGAGTTATAAATAAGTTAAAGTTTGCACCACACAAGACCAAAGCCATGGTGATTACAAATAGGCTAAAGTATGACACCCCAATTCTAAACATGGACGGGATCGACATTCAAATGTCCCGCGAAATCACGATACTGGGTCTGACTGTCGACAACAAGCTTACCTTCAACCTGCACGTGGATAACGTATGCCGCAAAGCGCTTAATCTGTATAAGCAGCTATCGAGGACGGCAAAGATAGGTTGGGGGCTGAATCCAGACATCGTGCGGACTATATACACAGCCGTAGTCGAGCCAATTATATTATATGCGGCAAGCACATGGGCGCCGGCGGTAACAAAACTGGGAGTACAGAAGCGGCTTAATGAGGTGCAGCGCGGGTTTGCGCAGAAAATTGTGAAGGCGTATAGGACTGTATCCCTAAATTCGGCCCTATTGCTCGCCGGACTGCTTCCTCTAGACATAAGGGCCCAGGAAGCAGCCCTTCTATTTGAGGTGAGGAAGGGTTACTCTGATCAGGTGATAGGAGACCGGGAGGTTGAAGTTCCCGTACCTTACACAGGTGTGCCACACCCGGCGGAGAGAATGGGGCTGCATTTTATATGTCTGCAGAGCGGTGTAGAGTTGAACCAGCAAGAAAACGATGGCCTAAAAATATTTACAGATGGCAGTAAAATAGAAGGAAAGGTAGGCGCCGCACTATCTATATGGGACGGCATGGTAGAGATAAAACACCGGAAGTTCAAGTTGGCACAATTCTGTACCGTATATCAGGCTGAAATGTTAGCCCTATTTGAGGCTACTAAGCACGCCATCAGTAGCACGAAGCAAACAAGCAACATCTACTGCGATTCCAAAGCAGCACTGGAAACCATAGTCAGGGGCGTTTCCCTCCATCCCCTAGCCGTAAAAACCAGGTCCAATATCAGTGAGGGTGGAAAATTAGGAAAAACGTTGCGCCTCTATTGGATTAAAGCACACGCAGGATTGGAGGGGAACGAAAGAGCCGACGAGCTGGCGAAACAGGCAGCCCTCTATTCCAAGACAAGACCAAACTATGATAGTTGTCCAGTTTCATTTGTCAAGAGACAAATACGCCAGCATTCACTCGATATGTGGAACGATCGCTATAAAAGTGCTGAAACAGGTTCCACAACTAAAGCCTTCTTCCCGGATGCTGTAAAGGCACATACGGTACTCCGAAAAATAGAGCTGGATCCTGTCTTGGTACAAATCATGACGGGACATGGCGGGTTTTCCGGGTACCTGTACCGATTTAAGTGCAAAGACAACCCAGGATGCGTCTGTGACCCGGAAATAGAAGAGAGTGTTTTGCACGTTTTGCTAGAGTGTCCGGTGTATGCAAGACATAGATTAGACACAGAAATTAAAATTGACACAACCATTAGCATAGACAGCATCAGTAAAATTTTAGAAGATAGCACTGTGCGAAATGAATTCCTTCAATATTGCAAAAAGGTAGGTCAGATGGTTGCAGGCAAGAACAAGATCTAAGCAATTTAATAATTCATGTTTATACTAGTGTATATACAAGTTATTATGTAATGAGAAAGATAAGGCAATATTAATTAAGGTAGCAATTAAGGACATAGTACAGTGA